AGGGTGCACTCAATCCCCTCATCCAGATCATCGATAAAGAACTTTTAAAGAACATTTACAAAGAACTTCAAGGAATGCAACGCACAGACAGCTCTCTTGTTCTGACCCATGATGAGAGTTTTCTCATTTCAGTGAAACTGTTAGTAACAAGAAACTTTGTACCCTGAAAGAAGGTATGTATCCACAAAATATTAAGGAATCTCTTGTGTCAAGATGGAGATTTCAAATGAAGAAAGCAAGTGGGGGGGGGCGGGGGGGAGGGACGGGATGGGGGAGTGAATTACACTAGAGGCGTACATACCCTAAGACAGCTAAGATTTGACACAGCCAGTATTTGGTGTTGCATTATTATTGCCAAGGAAAGGAGGTGGCAGCAAGCAAAAAGCCCCAGTCAAGTTTGGTTTAGAATTTATGGTCAGACAAACTATATGGCTGCATAACACAGACAATTCAAGGACAAAATTCTGTCACAGCAAAATGTGAAATTATTTATTTTCACTGTAATTGTATTACCATCTCAGACATTACAAATTAAAGGTTTGACTTTTTAAAGCATTCAGGCAATTGCAGGAAGAAACAGGCACTTCCCTAAATTTCATAGGGAAACTTTCATCTCTGGCACCCAAGTACCTTCAAAAATCTTAAAGATCTACACCATACGTAGCTCCTTCATTGATGGATTTCTCATCTTCCAAACACCTGTCACTTCTTGCTTATGTCAACAGAAGGGTTGCTCTTTTCCTGTAAGACAAACAAACCCTCAAATTACTTCAGTTATAAGAGGTCATTTAAACCAAGTTTTCATGGGTCTGCTTATAACCCTTTTCTACTCCACGTACATTTAACAATTTGGGTTTTTTTGATTAATGCAAACAGTTCTGCTTTCATTAATCATAGACCGAATCTGAAATCTTCCTGGCAGACTTTGTCAACACAGTTACATCAGTTCAGTACAAATGCTAAGCTATGTCCAGGTAGGCCTGATCCCCACATCACAAAAAATCCCAGTCCCTTTTGGGACAAATGCAACCCACTGCCCACTAACTGTAACAGCAGCATCGCCCTTGCACAAGTCACTCTAGGAAGCTTTCACCATCTGAAAATACAGCTTTCACTCATCGATGGGCATATACTTCAGCAGTGAGTTCAAAAATTCAGAACTAGGGAAGTGTTAAGCTAGGCAAGAACTGCCTGAATACTCAATTCAGCGGCAAACTGTTGACAACCACCTTCTCCTGAATACAAGCTCACTGACATGCTGTAGGATTGTCTGTTCCCAGAAATTTATTTGGAGGCCGCCTTCTGCCCCTTTTAAGCACCATTCATTTAATTTACATATGCATCTCATCGATCCCTCTGGTTTCTGTGCAGAAAAATGGGTGACATGGGATCAGTCACCACACTGGAATTTTCCCACGTAACTACAGAATCTGCTGCATGAAGGCAACTAAAGTGCAGAGGAAAGGGGATGGATAATGGAACAACTGAACACCACTTATTGTTCAGTGGAAGTGAAGTGGTTTTGCACACTCCACTGAAAACAAGTCCTGAATAATGATACAATCAGGATACAAACACTCTACTGTCATTTCTGGTACTGCTCTACCAAAAGATACCGTCTTTAGATGACTTGTTACCAGGATGCCACAAGCAAAACCGCACAGAAATCCACCTCAGCACTTACCTTAAGAGATCTCCAGAACAGCAACGGTCAGGTAATTTCTCACTATCATGTCAGCTCTGCTACAGGATGTCCTTAAAATTAGACTGTATCTCTCCCATCCTTCTAGACACCACAAAGGCTATGAGGAAGATTTTTTGATTTATTTTTTAACTAATAGGAACATCCAATAAGATCTGATGAAAGAGACACAGCTTTCACAACCTCCCAAACCAGTTGTTTTTTCATTGTGAGGGTGACCAAGCACTGCAACAGGTTGTACAATCTTTCCACACAGAGGTTGTAAAGTCTCTGCCTGTGGAGATACTCAAAACCTGACTAGACAAGATCCTGGGCAACCTGCTCGAGCTGACTCTGCTTGAGCAGGGGGGTTGGACTAGGTGATCTCAAAAGGTCCCTTCCAAACTAAGTGATTCTGGGAAATTCATTAAAAGTTACCAAAAACATGCTTAGGAAAGAAAAACAAGCAAAAAAAAAACCCCAAACCCAAAACAAGGCTGTAGATTATAATTCTGTCTCATCACTGAACAGAATAGAAACAAACAGCACCTGGAAAACACTGTTTGCATCAAAACTAAAGCTGTTGGTACTCATCCTATAAGCTTTCTACTACTAATCAACTTGTTCTCTACTTCAGCGTGGAATGCTCAAACTCTGACATCCTGTCTCAATAACCAAGGTGTCACACAAAGCAGGCAATTTAACATGACAGACTGATGTCACTGTACTGCACCAGAAGAAACCTGAAATCACTACCTTTTATGGATAAATTAGTTCTGAATTTATCTTCACTTTTTCTTTGATTCCAGGTGCCTTCTCAGATTACACAGTCAGGAATTATGAAATGCTTTTCCTCCAATCTACGTATTATAGGCAGTATTAAGAAAAACCCTTAACAGGCTCAGCCTTTTTATGGGATTGGGCTCAGACTATTCTCATTTGAGATAAACCCTCTCCTGGATAGAAAAATTGCTTATTCAATGTCACTGTTTTAAGGGGAGCTATACACCAACGAGCTCCACATTCTGAACAGACAGAGGCCTCATACATTTCCATGTTGAGTAATCAGTCCTGTATTTCATGAAAGTCTTACTAGCAATGTTTTCCAAGAGATGCATCTAACTCGGAAGAGGAAATAATGCAGGTCTTTATCCCATAAAATGTTTGTAGTTATTGGGTTTTTTCCTTCTAATTTTGAAATGTTTTATCACTCTTCATTCTTGAAATTCAACATGTATCTTTTCACACTAATATGAGACCTGAAAGTAAGATCCGTTAGTTGACAGGCCAAGTCAAGTCTAAAGCATTCCCGGGTAAGATTCAGCCTCTGTTCTATTCACAGATTCTTATCCCATAGAGAAAAACTTAACGTCTCCAAGTGCTTCAATCTTTTTATAGAAAGCGACTAACTGTTCAGGTGTCCTACAAATAAAGTTTTTATTTCAGTATATGGCAATGGGATTTCTAACTAGGTTCACCTACTTTAACTGAAATCTTACAATGTTCTTGGAAACAATGGTAATTTTTTCCTCTTCCTTGCCAATAAGGAAACTGCTTAGGGAAAAGCAAGCTGGTATATCCATGCAGACATGCAAAATACATCTTAAGACAGTCCACATCCAAAGAACTTACATGTTGAATTCATGTTAATACGCCTCCAAACAAACTCCCACATTACTAAAAATTCAATGTCTACACTAAAATTCAACACTAGAATACAACAATGGATAGTTTTATCCTATATTAACAGCAAAACATTTATTTTAGTCAATTCAGAAAAAAATACAATCACTGACCAAGTTTCATACTTATCATGTGGAACTAACTTCTGCTGAAGTATGACTGGCAAGCTAATAGTATCACTTTTATATACTAATGAGACCAATAGAGTTGCAATACCCTTTTCAACACTGTTGCCAAGATCACACAGCAAATTCACCAGCTTTTGCTTTCTTTTAATAAGAACAGTACTTTTCCTTTAGCTTCCTACTCAACCATCCATACTTTGCGCTTAAGACACCAATAATGATAGCGAACTGATACGATTTATGTTATTCTAACACAACTTCCTGACTAATAAGGGTTTGTAATACACCCATCCCCTTTTGCAGCTGAATAGAATCAGAAAACTCGCTGCTTTTTTATCTGTATGATAAACTAGCATATGAGGTGGGGGGTTACATACATATGACTAATACAAAACAGAGGCAAGACTTTAAGAGCAGGCCTCACAAACAGGGAGATACTCTTATTTCTATAGACAAGACTATATATAACTGGATACATTATGCCCTACACACATAGATCCTCCAGCCCCAAAACAATCTCTTAAAACACATGCAACCCATCTTGGCTTGCACCAGGTTTTACCATCCTTATTTCCCTCTACCCAAATTATCTGCAATTTAGCCATGCCATGAGGAATTTTAGAGTTCATTTGTCCACTGATTCCATTTCTGCAGGGGTCTTCCTTTACCTATGAATATAACCATGTGAACGTGTATATAGTATCAAAATTTGCGCCCCTTAGAAACTCAAGTGACAGGAAGAAGGGGAAAAAAGTTAGGAAATTCGAGAGTTGAAACTTCCCTACCTGCAGGCAGCTTTTCAAACAAGTAAAGTTTTCATCTTGAGGACAAATTAACAGAAAGATGCAAAAAGTAAGATCAGGGAAGGCCAATTACTATCATATATTAGCTTAACTTTGCTCTTCCAAAGAACATAAATTTAAGAAGTTTAAAACTGCCTCAAACTGTGGCCAACACAGTAGTCATCTGGACGTACTTCTCCAGGATAGGAATCCTATTTCTAGAAGAACTGCACACTGATGTCCTCAAAAGCAGCCGTAGTATGTAGCCTAATTTGATATTATAATGTTTATACCCAAGAACATTTTCCCACACTTGGTGTGTGGAGTGCAAAGCATTAGATTTTTTTCTCTTAGCAGTTGTCGTGGTTTAGCCCCAGCCAGCAACTAAGCACCACGCAGCCACTCGCTCACTCCCCCTACCCCGATGGGACGGGGGAGAGAATCGGAGGAGTAAGAGTGAGAAACACTCCTGGGTTGAGATAAGAACAGTTTAATAATTGAAATAAAGTAAAATAGTAATGCTAATAATAACAATATAATAATGATAATAATAACAACAATATACAAAGCAAGTGATGCACAATGCAATTGCTCACCACCCGCCGACCGATACCCAGACAGTTCCCGAGCAGCGATCGCTGCTCCCCGGCCAACCGCCCCCCAGTTTATATACTGAGCATGACGTCATATGGTATGGAATAGCCCTTTGGCCAGTTTGGATCAGCTATTCTGGCTGTGCCCCCTCCCAGTTTCTTGTGCACCTGGCAGAGCACGGGAAGCTGAAAAGTCCTTGACTAGCATAAGCAGTACTTAGCAACAACTAAAAACATCAGTGTGTTATCAACATTCTTCTCATGCTAAATCCAAAACACAGCACTATGCCTGCTACTAGGAAGAAAATTAACTCTATCCCAGCTGAAACCAGGACAGTAGTCAAAGTATTTGAGTATTATTTCATGTCAAAGGTTAAGGTGGCACTCCTGGATATCCTTCACACTCATCATTCATTTCTATTAATTTCTCCCCAACAACACAGACCACATATAATGGTAACACAAACTGCATTAACCTCATTAATAATTTTGGAGTGGACACAGATGCATGGACAACTTTAACACTGGAATCGGACTTTCACCAAGCCAGAAATTTATCAAGATTGTTCTCTTTTATTTTGAAAAGATAGAGATGCAATTCACATAGAATAGCAAAGCTGTGTTTTGTGATTTTATACTAGAAAGCTTTAAAGTCAGTATGAAATCATATTACATTTGGAAACATACCTGATCTTTTTCCTGAAAACAAAGAAAAAAACCCTTTTCCTTTGTATGGTACTTGCCACGGTAAGATGCCAAATACTGGCTGGGGAAGTTATGTACAAAAGTAACAGAGCTGAACTGCACAATCTGTCTTTTGAAGGTTTTACCAATTTGGCAGGCTAGTCTGAAGAAAAATGCTTCCTATCAAATGGGTTGTCAAAACCTCCATGACTGTTTTTAAAACTTAATACAAAAAATGGACTTACTGGCTTTTCAAGTACAATGGGATGATCAGGAAGAAACTCCGGCTTCTTCTGAGAGAGAGAAACACTTGAAAGTTTCAGAAGGAAATCTCGGCTGTATTTGATCCTTTCTGTGAATATACAAAATTACCAAGTTCAACACTGTTGTTTAAGGCATTAATGTTGGGCATTCAGAGAACTGATCTGGTTTCTTATAGAAGGGTTGAAATGCTGCATGTGGAATATAAAAATCAATATTAAAACCAGCAGTAATTTAAGTCTGACCTGGCATCAGGACAATTTGTAGTAAATTACACTTCAACTCTATCAAATTGACTTACTGAGGACTCTAATTAATTATCAAATTAAATACTGAGGACTATTCCAAGCTAATTAAGGGTTTGCTGGTTTAGTACAAAAAAACCACAAAAAGGTGAATCCAACCTTACACTACAGACAGACTCCCTAAATCTTGTTCTAATTAACAGAAATACCACAAACTGGTCTTGAAATCCTAGAATAAGATCTGTTTATAACTCACACCAAAGTGGCACATGTTTCTATGGGACAGACATCAAAAACTGAGGGTCTCTTTTCTTGGAGCTATTAAGTTGATATCTTTCAACAGGCAGAAGTAATTATGAGATCTGCTGCATGTAAACTGGCAAACGGATTAATACCAATGAAATAGTTTTGAAGGTTTTTACACAGAATCAACAGGTCAGGGGCTTTGCTTAGAATGTGCATGTTATCATTCAACTTTGTACTGCCACCTCTGCTCTAGCATAGCCTCAGATACAGTATGTCTTAAACAAGAGCAGAAACAAGAGGAAAGGAATTAGGCAAAGAAGGGACAAACTTTACCTGTGGTCCCTGCTGACAAAGAAGTTTGTTCCTTTAGGAATAAAGGGCCTCCTGTAAGACTGTTACAGTCACTTGATGGACTACAGTTTTTGCTTCTCAGGCTGTAGGCCGTTGACAAGAGAAGCCACGAAGTCAACTACGATTGTGATTTTTTCCTGCCTTTGACCACAAGTGATTGTAGTAACTGCTGAACCTATGCGAGGGCATGAGGATGACTTTACAAAGAACAGTTTAAAGAACATGAGCATACTTGAAAACTTCTGGCTTTTCCTCCCCTTGTTTAAAAACATATGAAGATGACGACTTCTGTAAGGCTTTGACACGGTCCCCCACAACATCCTTCTCTCTAAATTGGGGAGATATGTATTTGATGGCTGGACTGTTCGGTGGATGAGGAATCAGTTGGATGGTCGCATCCAGAGGGTAGTGGTTAACAGCTCTAAGTCCAGATGGAGATCAGTGACAAGTGGTGTCCCTCAGGGGTCCATAATGGGACCAGGGCTGTTTAATATCTTCACCAATGAGACAGTGGGATCGAGTGCAACCTCAGCAAGTCTGCAGACACCACCAAGCTCAGTAGGTGTGGTTGACACACCTGAGGGATGGGATGCTGTCCAGAGGGACCTGGACAAGCTTGTCAAGTGCAAGGTCCTGCACCTGGGTCAGGGCAACCCCCAGTATCAACACTGGCTGGGGCATGATGGGATCAAGAGCAGCCCTGCAGAGAAGGACTTGGGGGTACTGATGGATGAAAAACTGGACATGAGGCAACAATGTGCACTTGCAGCCCAGAAGGCCAACCCTGTCCTGGGCTGCATCAAAAGAAGCGTGGCCAGCAGGTCGGGGGAAGTGATTCTGCCCCTCTGCTCTGCTCTGGTGAGACCCCACCTGGAGTACTGCGTCCAGCTCTGGGGCCCTCAGTACAGGGAAGACATAGACCTGTTGGAGCAGGTCTGGAGGAGGGCCACAAAAATGATCAAAGGGCTAGAGCACCTCTCCTACAAGGAAAGGCTGAGCGAGTTTGGGTTGTTCAGCCTGGAGAAGAGAAGGCTCCAGAAAGACCTTACTGCAGCCTTCCAAGACGTAAAGGAGGCTTGTAAGAAAGATGGGGACAGACTTTTTAGTAGGGCTTGTAGCAATAGGACAAGGGGTAATGGCTTTAAACTAAAAGAGTGCAGATTTAGGTTAGATATAAGGAAGAAGTATCTTACAATGAGGGAGGTTGCCCAGAGAGGTGGGAGATGCCCCATCCCTAGAAACATTCAGGGTCAGGTTGGATGGGGCTCTAAGCAACCTGATGTAGTTGAAGATGTCCCGGCTCAATGCAGGGATGTTCCAACCCAAACTATGCTATGATTCTAACAGAAAGCAAGGAAGTGACTGAGACAGCAGTAAAAAGCACTTAACGAACTGTAGAGACAGATTATTGAAGGCATACTACCACTGAACAGATATCAAATGGAAATTATTATCTAGAACTTAAGTAACAGCTGGAGATAATAATGGAGTTCCAGTGGAAATTTCACAGTGCGACAGAAGAGAGGAAGGGGAAAGAAAAAAAGGAAAAAAGAAAAAGACTTATTTGTACCTGAACAACGGGACCTCTAAAGTTGTGTTACTCTGAAGGAAATTATTACAACAACCAGCAAACAAACAAAAGCCCTTTGAAAAGAAGTGCTGGAAAAAGTTTGATATTATAGACAAATGTGGAGTAGATCCAGGAAGGCATCACAGAGGAATTACCCACTAAAAAAGATCCAAAGTGATGGCTTATACAAAAGACCAGGATCTGATGAGAATCCATTTAAGATCTTGTAGAACACAATAGTCTCTACACACCACAAGCAGAATCAATGAGAATGGATCAGAAAGCCACCACCAAACAGATGGAACTTGACAAGCCTGGCACCAATCTAGATCCAAAGAACAGAACATTATTCTATTTACCAAGATCAAGAATAAAAGAAACGAACCTGAGCCTGAAAGGGGATACATGGAAGACTTACTTTCAAGTCAGTAACACATGACAGTGTAGAATTCCTGCTCAAGAACCTGGGTGATGGTAACCTTAGATTGAGGGAAAAATAGGAAAGGCTCAATAAAACTTTTGGAATTCTTTCAATTCTTAAGTACTAAGAGCAACAGAACAAACCAAGTCTCCAGAGATTACTTAAGGATTGGAGATTACAGGTGGAGATTTGAGATGCCTGATTACAGGGAAGACATTAACAGGAAAAATTGTCTCAGTGAACTGATGACCTAACCTGGATCACTGTCGCAGCTCCTGTGACATGTTTAAGAATGAAGAATTAGACAGGAAGCAGTGCAGAGGAGGACTGTGGGAATATGTTTGGAATCTGAGATTATCCCTTAATGAAAAAAAGAGTAAAAGTTTGGCTTGTTTAACCTACCAAACCATGACAAAAACAGTATTGTGCTTTATGGAGTGACAGGCAATACAGAAAAATAAAAACTGTCCAAGACTACTCATAGAAGAAATTAACTGATTTCTAACCATCAGAAAATTAGTATTTCAGAAGCACTGTAGTAAGAGTAGGAAAAGGAAGCCAAACTACTGAAGTCTTAAATTGGTTGCATGCAATAGTCTCAAAGATTGTATGCCATGACTGCCCCTGGCAACAGGCTAAAGGATGCAATTCAAACCTGTACTTCTACACACAAAAGCAAATTATACAAAACCAGGATTTTGTGTGAAGAAATATTTATGCTCAGGGTTTTTTCCCCCCCGCCCTTGTTTTTTTTTTAAAAAAAAAAGCCTGGTACACCCTTACATATATACCAGTGGAGGTTTCCCACCTCAGTTTTGGCCAAGTTTTACACTTTATCTCTAGAGTGTTATGTGAAAACCAGAAAGGTTTCACATTGCTCTCAAATTGTGGTACAGAAGGAAGCCAAACTCTCAAAGCACTGGCTAATCAGAAAAAATAATATGCAGCCCACCTCTCTTCAAAGTTCAACTGTCTTCAGAAATCCAGAAAATACAATTCTGATACAGATCTCCCTGCAATATTTTACCTTTTTTTGCTTCCGATTCATGCTGTTTTGGTTGACAGGGCATCACAGTTTGAGTTAAGATCTTCACTTCAGTCATTTCAGATAACTAGAATAGGGCAGAAAAGAGTTAAACATTTTTTTATATATTTCACAAAATTAAGTTATGAAGCTTGTTTCCTTTAAACATATTAAAACAAGGATGTATGTTTCTGGGTTTCTTAGTTAAAAATAACAGTTGTAGCACAGTTTCAATAACCAATTTTGCTTTCACCAGTCACCAAGATTTTGGACAATTCATACTTTCTGTGCACAAAGAAAACTGGATTCTGTTCATTTATTTTACTCCTTGCAAATGAATCACCATGTTTACAGTGCAAGAACAGTCTGAAAAGAAACAGCCTTGCACAAATTAAACTGTAGTCAGAACTGTAGCAATTTATAACAGTTGATTCACCTCTAACTTGAAAGATTAAGGTCTTGCAAAGGAACTGCAGAAAATTGTAAACAGGAATACTGGTAACATAAAATACATGAGAAGATTAATTTGAACCTGTAGAATGTTTGTAACTCTTGATACAGACAATAAAGGAACAGTTCCAACAACCTACAAAGCAGTATAGGTAAATACATTTGAGACAGCAATCTTTTAGCCAGAATTTTACAGTGCTATTACTAGTTTTCAAAAAAAGAACACATCTCCTCCTTTTCTCTTATCTCACCCAGAACACAGCCAGAAGATGCTACACTGGGGAATAATAAAAGCAGGAAGGACTTTCTTTAAGACCAAAAGAGAGACTTGGATTCTCTCACTTAGCAAAAGGTTTCATAAGCATCAAGACCCAACATCTACAGTGTAACACCAGCTGCGAAAACACTGAAGTGAGTGTTTTGGAAAGCAGGAAAGCAATTTACCCTCAACAGTTTGCCTTGGCTCCCAAAAGGCTCCACAGGTTTGGCTGAAGAATTTTAATCTCATTCTGAGACAGACTGGGGGGTGGGGGCAAGGTGCAGGAAGAACTGAAAATTTTGGGAAGCATTTGTCAAAAGCTGAAGAGATCCTATTTTCTGGAGAGAGACAGCAGTTAATACTTTGTACTGTAACTGCACCACCAGCTTTCATGGTGGACTAAGACTACAAATTGTGAAATGGCAAAATGTTTCTAATGTATTATCCACCCTGCTTGCACTTCTAGTTTCTGTAGTTGAAATTTAGTTATCTTTTCCTGATTTGTGTAAAACTGTCAGGGAAAAAAAAATCTGAAAAATCTAGGCATTTCAGAGAATGAAGTTAACAGAAAGCCATACTGCTAATTCTATGTGCTTTGTGATGTTCAACTAGTCTTTGCTAGTCTTAGCTATTCAAAGGCTCTTTCCAAGTACAAACAAGGATCTAACACATTCTCAAATCCAGAAGACATGCATGATAAAGCAGAATTTACAGCAATGTGCCAGACAATGTCACAATATTTTTACATTTCTTCCTGCACCATCTCCTATCACATCATCCTGACAAGTACTTTATAATATCGAGTTCTGTTATGCTTGGGTTTTGATCCAAAACTTAACATCTGAGTATCACCACTCACAACAATACTCTTACACGTTCCTATCTGAAATCCATCTACAAAGAATCGCATCTGTCTATAAAGAATATCCCTAGAGCAGGGCATGTATTTCTAAAGCTCAACATAATTTTTAAATGGTAGTTAAAAAGTAGTAAATTAAAACTGACACTGACTGATGGAGACTTTTCAAGCCCCTCTCTCTACCTCAGCTAGTTCTGAGGTAGTGGACTCAACACTTCAGATTTTCTGAAAATTCTTTGCATACCATGAAGGAATAAGAAATGTTCTTTGCTTTAAATTATCCAGTTAGGGCACAGTGAGTATTCAGGCACCTTCACTCTGAACACCAGTTTGGTGGAAATTCCCTAAAATCAAGGTTAACATCTTAGATACAAGCATTACCACTGTGCTCGTTATTAACAATAGCTCTTCTCCACTTCCTCTAAGGCTTAAGACTAGAAGTTTCAGACTGTAAGTTCCTCGGATAGTAGTTTTAATTCTATAATTCACTGTTCTTTATACTCAGAGATTAATCTAACACTGACCAGCACTCCTGATGTGCCATAATGAGGAATCTTTTTTCCTGGCAGAAGTCTAAGCAGCTTTAAGTGTGCATACTAAATATCCCAGAGTACAGCAGGAGAATTCGGTTGCCAGATTCTCCTTCAGTTCTTTCACTGCTTCAAGAACCTGGTTTGTCAGAGTTGGCTTTTTTTTCCCCTAAAGCCCCTTTGTCTTTAAAAATCTACTTGTAAGTTAGCGGCAAATACAATCTGCTTTACTTTTTAAAATCTTCACTGTTCACCACACTTTCCAAAAAGTAACCTGTATTTCCTGTATCCTAACCTATATCAACCTGAATATTTATTCTTTCTTTAATAGATTGTTGCTACGTAAGACTATGACTAGTATAAAGAAATGTAACAAACTGGTTTTCCTTTCCTTAACACTAAGAGTTCTGCCAACAGTTGCTCGTTTTTCACCTTACAGTGTGTTTAATGTTGTGTAAAAGGAAATATATTGGAGAAGGAAGGAAAGGGGATGAAGATAATTAAAGTTTTATGATTGTAGATACAGAGCACTATTACTGTCTTGCCAAGAAAGCAGTAAGATTTAAAGTATCTGAAATACAATAACAATTTTGAAGAACAAGTTCTTGAAGTGACATATATATATATTATTCTAGGAACGGGGACATTATTTCACCACATCAAGAGCTGAAGAGCAAATGGATAACAATGTACAGCTTTCTCAGATCATTACTGATGCTTTTTGAAACATGGAGAATCTTCAGGAAGATTCATTAAAGAGTAATAACACACAACTCTGTATCATCAGATTCAGCTCCCAGTATCTTCAGAACTAGATACTGAAAGTTCCTGCTTAGAAAAATATTCTGTGAATCTGTTATGCCAGCACCCAGGCCAATGCTGCCCATGAACTAGGGGTTCATAGGGTACTCATCAGCTGGTATTTGGAGGTACCCCTGAAATAGCTGACAGTCAAAAGTATTAAAAAGCCTTTTCAATATCCTATGCCAAAAAAAAAGTTTAGAAAAAGTAATAATACAGCTATACTAACATCAAACAAATGCAGTATGTAGCTACATGTAGCCAAATACTGATGAAACTGAGTACTACAACATTGCTGACCACAGGCCTATTCTAAAAGGGAATAGTTAATTCTCCCAAATATATGTTGCTTAAGAGACAACTATAACTGTTAACTTCCCTATGTGTGATTAAGGATAGGCTGCCCACACCTCGACTTTTTTTTTTTTTAAATAAAGTCAAAGACAGCTTCCAGAAGCTTCATACAATAAAGGAAGGACTACAGGATTATTAGATCTCTTCTAAAATAAAAAATAAAGGAACATACACTTAGTCTAACAAAAAAAAAAACTTTCAGTGTGCTCTGAAAAACATTCAAATCAGTATCAACAGAAAATCAAATTTAGACTATGAAACATCAAGCATTCCAGTTGGAACACTACAAACTTCATTTTGCAGCAAACAGCCACGACCCATTTCAAGTTTGAAAGACACATTGTACCGTGACTAAAACCAAATATTTCTGGCAATAAAGCACTAGAGTGCTCCCGGTTTTTTGTATGCTAAGGCCCATTTATTGCCTGGTCCAACAGAGTCGATGAAACAGAACTACAGAATGCACTGGAACTGCTTAATTATCTAGTTTTGTGGAGTTTGCTGCCTCAAATGAATCTGTCCATATGCTAACAAAGAAAATATTTCTATGTTATTCTTTACACATAATAAGCAAAGACTGCAAATGTGTACTTCAAGTTTAAAACAGCTGTCTTAAATTCAATGAAGACCAAAGAAATGCCACGCAGACCTTCATAAGACTTAAGTAACTCACAAATGTATTTTTCAGCTACTAGTGCATGCAAATATCAGGGAAAGGCATTCTTGAAACTCATACTTCTTTTTAACACATCTGATGCTGCCGGTTTATAACGTACAGATTCAAGGACATTCCCAGCTGGAAGTACAGTTTACTTTTCATTTGGTAACATAAAAGATCAGCTGACCTCCTATTTATACCACTCTAGAACACACTCCATCAACTTTCTGATCTACTATTTACTCAATACTCACCCAGCCAACCTTATTCTGCAAACATACTTCAGTGTTGCTAGGTAATTCAGTCTGAAAGTTTAACGCAATGGCTGATGCCGGTGATGATAGGAGAAAACATTAAGAAAAAATATTTTAAATACACTCCACATTTTTATTTTGTGATACTTGCCACAAGAACATTATTGAAATGCAACTGCAAAGAGATTATATGGGCATTTATTCACAACTTAAAAGCTCTAAATCACCATAGGACCATTTTTCCATTTCTTCCATGAATTTTAAGCAAATTAAAAATTTATCATGTCACTTAGCTTCTGTCCACATCACCACAGCTGTCACTGCTTCTCTGGCCACCAAAATTTCTAACTTAACAATAGTAATAGCTGTAATACTGCAGTATCTAGAAAGCATACAGAGATTGAAAAACAAAACTAGAATAGACACACCTGACATGATGTTTTTCTTTTTTTTTTTTTTTAAACTTGTATGAAGGCTAAATAAGGATGGTACAGTGCAGTATACTGTACTTGCAATAAAACCTAAACAATAATCTATTTGTTAAATTATGTGTATTTTATATTTTCAATAGCAGGAGCCAACTAACCTAAGAAATCCAAATTTAATAGAGAAGGCTGATCCAGCTTTCTGAAGCCAGAATTTAGCTGCCAAGCTGGCACACCACCACCAAAAGAGTTCTGCATAAACCTAATGTAGTTTAAATTCAGATTTTATCACAGAGCTGATGTAGTAAGATCAACACACAGCAAGATATTTACATCACTGTAGTGATCATCACTGTAGTTTGAATAAATTCTTTAAAAAAAAAAAAATCCAAGTCACCTTACATGTCCTTGTTATTTCCTTATACGCAACTGAAGCTTTGGCAAAGTAAAATGCATCTTAGCCATGTTACTCACCTTGTTTAGAAGACAGATGATGCACAGGTCGTGCTGGCTGAAGGGATTTACCAATAAACTTTTTAGTTTCCTTTAACATTTTGAAGCATCACACTTTAAAAAAGCAGCAGAAATCAATAGAGATCATTCAGTTTCACATACGGATGTTAAGTAAGAAGAGCAGTCTGTCTACCACTCATTAGTTGCATTTGACAAGAGCATATACTATTTTTTAGTATCTGGACAGGAAAAAGAAGAAAGGCCTAACACAGAAGTTTTCTTAGATAATATAACAGATAAAATTTGCATAAATACAGAATCAGACATCTCTCTCACTTCTCCTTCCAATTGAGCTACCCTAACTTCTTCTCAAAAAGATTTTTTTCCTGTACCTTATGTCTGTACACTTGGAGAAAGAAGATGGGGACACATGGGGACACATGATGGAAATAAAGGTATTTCCTAACAGTTAATTTAATTCAATGAGGTTTTAATAAATTAGTATCAGTGTACCCTTTACAGTCTGCTGGCTGCATACGAGTTCCTTGATATCTCTCTCTCCAAATATATATACATAAACTTGTGTAATTGGGTTTTAATATCTACTTCAGTTAAATTAATAGTGTTGCATCTTCCCACTCAGTTTAGCTGCTATAGAAGCACCAGAAACTGCTAAGGTGGCACTGGGCTGACAAATCTCCCACTCTAAGTAAACCATCATTCATAGTGTCTTAATTCATAATGTCTACATCTAAATTCTTCTCCTTCCTACCCCCACCTCCATTGTCAACTGGGAAATTTCATGGTTTGAAGGAACTTCTGCTTCATTCAGAGAAAAAGAACAGCAGAAACAACAATCAACACAATAATAACGGTACTGAAATTCTGCTTTCTCTAAGATACTCTACAGGACAAGGGAAGAATTGTTGTAACACACAAGATTCAAAGGAAACTATCATGACTTCAAGAGTTAAAACTATAGAGATTACTATCCAATTCCAGTATGGAACAGGAAAAAAGAAGTTAGGCTATTTAAAATATGATCCAGTTAGCACTCCCCACTTTAATTGGTCTTTGCATTATAGAAAAAAAAAATCATCTATTTACTATGTTATAATCTTTTGAACACTGAACTTTTACTATATTCAAGTAGCAACCTTCCAACATATCCATGCTGAACCCATTCAGGTCTAGAAACCAATTATTAAATGGTTAAGTCTGAATTAGAACAGCTAAGCTAAAGCTAGGAAAAAAGTTCTGGTTTGATTTGCTGGGTTTTTTACCTTCTCAACTTAAAAAAGAAAGACTTGAAAGCTGTAGTCAAAAGCAACAGTGAAAATTCCTGCAGGTCAATGAACTGAGACTACTGACATGGATGATCTATTTCATTTTGTCCAGATTAGGAATGCTTGTTTAAAATATATTTATACTAAATTTCTGCATAAAGCAACGCAGTAACATTTGCATCAGAAGATAAAAAAAGCAAGATTTCCTCCATACCCTGACTGCAAATGACATGCACACACTTTTTAAAAACTGGACAAACTGTTAAAGAGGCCGGCTAGCTTCTAGAATGTAGCACACCTGTATTTTTAAAGCATCCTCCTGTTGATGAAAACAAGATGGCTCGTCGTAACAGCAAAACAACCCATTTTTCCCCCCCAAATTTCCATGAGCAAGATGTCTAAGGAACCATATACTCCCAAAGAAAGCAAAACAGAAGAGAATGTGAAGAGGAAGAGGGGAGTTTGGGCAGTGGTGAAATCAAGTAGTGTTTTAACAGCTCTATTTTCTCCTTTTAAGTTGAAGGAAGAACCTAGAAAAGATATCGTTATCCAGCCCAACCTTCTGGATTAATAGTGTTCTATGCGACCAGTATCAAGAAAAGTAGAAAAAGATTAGTTTTAACAGCTGAGAAACAAACTGCTTCCAGGAGAGACTATTGCTGCAGGGACACCTCCTGCACCCCAAGACTTCCTCCTGACGAAGATCATACTGCTTCTCAGAAGTTATCTGATGGGTGACCTGCCCACCAGAAACGAAGCCTTCTGCAGCAGCAAACAGGCCCAGCAGGATTTCTGTATGACCTTTTTTTTTTTGAGTATCTTAACAAGTTGGACATTCACAGCAGACAACTTACAAGGGCCCATCAGAAACGTTCTTTGGAAGACTCTTTCCTGAACACAGGAGAGAGAATTAACAGAGTTTTTGTGGAAGAAATCCCCCGAGCCCAGCAGGCCCAGGAGTAACCGGAAAGCGCCCATCTCCCCTTGCCCGAAGAGGCACAGCACTGTTTCACTCGAAGCCCCCGAGCGCCT